GTCATGAAGTTGTGCAAGTGTCCGACCAGCTATACACAGGTCCGTTCTATTTCATCAATATGGCCCCGTATAATAGCTTCTCAATCGCGTGACCACATGTAGTTTGACCCTCTTACTCCTAAAAATGCACACTTCTCCACTGGCTAAAGATGTTCACTAGAGGCCCAGTCCAGGCAACACGATGGTGACAACAGTTTATGTGGAATCAATGATAAGGAAAAGGCATCTTAATTAACCATTTCCACTGAAATGAGATCAAATGATTAGTATTGGAAGACTGGCATGCATCCACATGTATTGCTACTTCCTCATATCATGATGAAGAGAAAATTGCATGCGGAATAGCTTTCTTTTCTAGATCGTAGATACAATACAAGTTGTGCTTAAATTATTGATTTTGCTTTGTCATTCTAAATATCTTATAAAGTGGAATATCAAAGCTAAGATTATATCTCGCAAGGCCTACAACTGTGATCATGTAACACTACTTTCCTTGGCTACAGTCATTAGTATTATATAATTCTTTTGGTTTCACAAAATTATTTGTTCAGTTGCGTTCTTGAAACTATTTGACAAATAATAATTTGTCAGTCAATCAACCTCTTCTCTCCACTCGATATTCTGTTCTTTAACCAAATGAGCACCAAAAATTCAACGGGCTCCGCTACAAGCGCGGCGTGGCGCCGTGCTTTTTTTGGCACTAGTTAGTATTAGATGAAAGGAGAGGTTTTTGATAAGGAAAATGCGTCTTAACCATTTCCACTCAAATGAGGTCACATGATTAGTATTGGAAGACTGGCATGCATCCACATGTATTTCTGCCAGAGACATATAATAAGTATATTCCGCTAACACACATAAACCATGCATTCAGCTGAGCAAAGACTTGCAAAAAGATACACAGAAGCGAACAAATTAAAGGTCGTCTCATACAACTTGTGCTACATGCTGCTGGAAGGGCAAACTTCTGTCATATGGAGGCCGGTTAATTTTTATTAATTCGGTGCTCACGAGTATGCCGATGTTCCTACTATCTTTCTTTGAGGTTCCAGTTGGGGTTAGGAAAAGACTAGACTTCTACCGATCAAGATTCTTTTGGCAGAGTGATGAACTTAAGAGAAAGTATAGACTCGCCAAGTGGGATGTCATTTGTCGACCAAAGGACCAAGGGGGGCTGGGTATCGAAAATATTGAGGTCAAGATCAGATGCCTGCTTAGTAAGTGGTTGTACAAGCTTTCGGGTCCGACTGATGCAACGTGGGCGTAGATTCTTCGTAACAAGTACCTGCGGTCCAAAACTTTGTCACAGGTGACAGTGAGACCATCTGATTCGCCGTTTTGGAAGGGGCTTATGAGAGTCAAGGCAACCTTCTTTAATAGAACAAAGTTTATCATCGGTGATAGCAATGACACACGTTTCTGGGAGGACAATTGGCTGGGTGATACACCATTAGCAATACAGTACCCAACCCTGTATCGTATTGTCCAGCGATGTGATGTGCTAGTTGCAACAATTATGTAGTCCACTCCCCTTAATATTCAGTTTCGGCGGGTGCTTGTTGGTGAGAGATGGGAAGCTTGGCTCCATCTGGTGCGTAGACTGATGGAAGTTCAGCTAGCTCAGCAGCCCGATCAGCTTTGTTGGAAGCTTACTAGGAATGGACAATTTACTGTAAAGTCGATGTACAACGATGTCATCAACTCCACTATTATTCCTAGTACCAAACATGTGTGGAAAGTACATGTGCCTTTAAAAATTAAAGTGTTTATGTGATTTGTCCATAAACAGGTAATTTTAACAAATGACAACTTGGTCAAGCGCAATTGGACTGGATCTACTAGGTGTAGCTTCTGTGATCATGATTAGACCATTAAGCATCTCTTCCTTGATTGTCCTTTGGCGAGAATTCTGTGGCGCTCTGTGCAAATTGCTTTTAACATCACTCCTCCGAGTACGGTTGGGTCATTATTTGGAACGTGGCTGGATGGGATAGAGTCCGATACAGCTAGGCATATTCGTGTAGGAGTGTATGCGTTGTTATGGGCAATTTGGAACTGCAGAAATGACTTGATTTTTAACAGGATAACTACTATTCATTTTTTGCAGGTTGTATTCCGTGCTACGGCGCTGATCCGTATGTGGTCCTTACTCACTCCGACGGAGGCCAGGGAGCGTTTGGTTACTGGATCTGTCCGGTGGGAGATGGTAGCGCGGGATATCTTCAACCGGTTTGGTTGGCGGTCATGTAATAGGATAGGCAATTAGTTTTCTTATCTTCATTTTACCAGCCGGTTGTGGCTTATGGCTTTTTCTTGGCTTATGGTTTTTTCTTGGTTTAGCTTCGAGGTTCTAGGTGAACTTGCTTTTATTTTGTTGAAGACTATACGACTTTGTTGAACCTATTTTATTTATTGAGGTGGCCGTATGCATCGTTCTGATGCAGAGGCCGGGGAGTCCCCTTTTCGAAAAAAAAACCTGAACGCACATAAAATATGCAGTTGCACATTATCTATACTACGGAAATATTATTTCCGCATTATAGATGAATCTCAAATCTCAATTTGAATTGACTGCAGAATATCTCTTACATGATTGAAATAGTAACTACTAGCTAGGAGAGCCAGAAAAAAAATGAGAAGCACGCAGAAATCAAACAGCGAGTATGTGCGTGTATATATATTGGAAATTCACTTTGGCACATGGGAGCATATGCTCCTGTCATTGGAAAAACATGTCAAGATGTCAAAAAAATCCGAACAAAAATTTGATGCATACATCTCAATATTCTATATGCGCACGCCAAGTTTTGTGGAAAACCGGCATTTTCTGTGACTTGTGTAAAGAAGACAAAGAAATGTCTCCTGAAGAGCCCTTTTTAATACTAAATTTTGTCTTTTTCACATGCAACACAAAAATTGACGGTTTTTCGCGAAATGACTTTGTGAGTACGTATAATGTCAAGATGTACGAGCGAAACATTTTGTCAGAATTTTGTGACATTTTAAAATATGTTTAAAACCCATTTTAAAAACCAGGAGCATATGCGCCTGGGTGCCAAAAGTCTAAAGAGTTACTCCTATCAATTTTGTAGATGAAATGAGCTTGAAAAACAGTCGTCAGGTTAAGTACATACAACAAAATGGATATGGAACTTCCAATTTCATTCCATAACTAGGCTTATATATTGCAACGACAACAATGACACAACAATATATATATTTATAGATGAAATGAGTTCGAAAACAATCTTCAAATCAAGTACAAACAGCCAATTGTTGGGCATGGAACTTCCAATTTCCCATAACCCCATTACAACAATGACGACAGACGATGGCAGCGATAAGAGCAACATTATATTAGACACCGGCCGGCTCTAATTATACTGATGGGAAACTGATCGAGATCGGAACTACTAGCAATGGGAATCTACTCCATCAAGTCTCAGACTGAACCTGCTGATCGAAATAAATCTTGATGATGTCTCAAAATGCATGAACCTGCTGTCTTGGCTTGGCTATCTCAATGAAGGTACCAAATGCAGGGCGAGCTGTCGGAGGGAGGCGAGCATGGCAGGCAGCGCTTGATTTCCTGACGGGAGCAACACCAGGCGCCGGTGTCCACGCAGGGATACACTTTGTGCTGAAGGACGCTGCGCGGACCCCTAGGGTAGACGTCGTCGAGGAAGTAGATGTAGCCCGGGCTGCTGGCGTGCCCGGTGTCGAATGCCTTGGAGCAGCTGCGGCCGACGAAGAGCAGCCGCCCGCTCATCGGGTAGGAGCGCCAGGAAGCCGACCGTCCGTCCTGTTCCTTGTGTAGGCTGAAGACCTCGAAGCGCAACGTGGCGCCGCCTCTCGCCGGCGCGACCAACCTCTTCACCATCAGCAGATGGGCGCCGGAGGCGGAGGGCAAGAGGTAGCGGGAGACGGCCTCCCCGGGCGCCGTCGGGGTCGTTGGGTGACCATAGACGAGATGTCGAATGGTAAGAGAGGCGCCGTCTCCGTCGGCGGTTTCCGGCTTGTAGCACACGAGCAGATCCCGGGGGGTGACGGCCCAGAACCATCCGTCTTGGTACGCCAGGTCTTGGGCGTCGCACGGAACGAGCGTCCCCGTCGGCGCCCGCAACCAGCAGTCGATGCCCGGCCGCCAGAACGCCAAGGTGGTCGGGCCTGACGTTAGGGCAGCGACGACGCAGTCGCCAGACGATGGCGGGGCGGACATGGCGGCTACGCGGACTACTATTGGGCACTTAAGGACGCCGGGATACAGGGGGATGCGCACGCGGTCCGGGAGGGGAACGCGCTCGCCGGACCGGAGGTTGAGCAGGGCGTGGGCGCGCCAGTGGCGTTGCGCGACCACGAACCAGCCGCCGGGAAAGGAGCCGCAGAAACGCGCCCCGTGGACCTCGCCGGGGATGGCCGGGCGCGGATGGTCTAAGCCGCCCAAGATCCGGTAGCAGGAGATGCCGGCGGTGGAGGGCGTGAGGAGCCAGGGAAGCGTGGGCGGGTCATCCAGCGCAACGCGGCGCCAGTGCTTGCAGGCGGTGGAGGCCCTGACGCGGTCGGCGAGGCATGCGATTAGGAGGAAGATACGGCTGAGGAGGTCCTGCTGAAGGCTCGACCAGTCCGCTGCCGCCGCCATGGCAGGCCCGGGTTTCTAGGTTCAGATGTTGTTTGGACAATGGACTAGAAATGAGGAGGGATGGGACTATGAGAGTGTGAAGGGGATCCCGATTTAGGGCATCTCCAGCCGCGCCCCTAGGAAGGCCTCTCCAGGCGATTTTTTCGCGCCCGCCGAAAAAACGGCCCAGTCACGCCCCCAGGAGCTCGATTTTCGCCGGCTTGGGCTGAAAACAGCGCCGGCGGACCCAGCCCGAACCGGCGCGCTGGGGGGCGCCCGGGGCGCCGGGGCGAGCTGTTTTGGCGCGAAAAAGACGCGGGCCAGCCGCGTCAGCGACTCGGCGCCTCGTCTTCCCCCAATGGCCTCGGTTCCCGCGGGGAATCAATGGCAAGGCTGCCGCCGGTCAGCCTTGCCATTGATTCCTCACGGGCGGCGCTTCACGGGGCGGCGCGCTGACGCCTCCCTTCCCTCGCACGCGTACACACGGGCGCGGCCCGGCTATAAAAGTCAGCGGCCTCCACTCGCCTGTGCCCAGACCAGTCCCCCCTCGCCGCCGTCCAACCCCTCCCTCTCCCTGCCTCTCCCGAGCGCCGCCCTTCGGCCCCTCCCTCTACCTCCCCTGAGCCCACACCGCCCCGCCGTCGCCATGGCAGAACGCTTCCCCGGAGACGAGGCAGCGGCCAACAGCTTCGGCCGCCGTTCGCTCTGCGAACAGGAGTCATGGCTCCTGTTCCAGGCGAACATCCCGGCGCCGCCGGACATGCGCGCCGGGCCATCGGGGTGGAGGCTCAGCGCCAGGGGAGTACCCATTCCCCCGTTGCCCGACGCCGTGGCGAAGCCGAAGTACTTCGCCGAGTACTGCGCCGCTTCGAAGAGCGCCGACGCGGCCGCGATGAAGACGGGGTCGTCGTCCTACGCGACAGCGACGACGACGACGATGACGCGCCGCCGCCAGTCCGCCATGGCGACTCCGGGTCCAGCAGGGGCGCCCGCGTCAAGGAGGAGAAGGCCGACGACGGCGACGATGGCGGCGACGACTTCAACCCCTTTCTTTTTTTAGATTAGGTTAATGTCATGAAAATGGCGAATTTCGCCGAAATTTGCCATGTTTAGACGAAATTTGCCATGTTTAGCCGAAATTTAACTAGTTTTTATCATAACTTCGCCGAACGTCTCATCTTTTTTTTAATACGTGCCTAGGGGCGGCCCTGGGGGCCGACGGTTGGGGGCCGACTCGCCCCAGGGCCATTTTTTGCGTCGGCTCACCCCCAGGCGGCGCTTTTTGACGCCCCCTGGGGGCCAACGGCTGGAGATGCCCTTATAGATTCAGTTTTAACCTGGCGGCTGGGACAATCCCGAGATAGAAAACTGAACCCTAACAGTTTGGCCCCTGAAAATCCCTTTTATTACACCCATTTCCTAATTAGAAGGTTTTTTGCAGCTATCTCAAAATATGGGAAAACTACACATATTGTGGCTGCTTTGCATTTTTCGAGAAAGGAAATATATTAATACCGCGAAGATACCAATTATACCCGGCCTCTGTACCAACAAGATGTCCAAAGACATCAAAGATACACACAGCCAAAAAAAAACAAGAAAGAAGAAAAGAAGAAAAAAGCCCTGCCATGGTGATCGGTGACCAGCAACAAAAACCCTCTAACCACCACCAAAGACAACACCCGACTTGCAAAAAAGGTTCCCGAAAAGCAACGCCTTCAAGAAGGAAACAATGCATAAGCGTTGTCATTGCCTGATCGAAGATCTTGAGTTTTCACCCTGGAGAAAGTCCAAGTTCACCAAAGAAACAATGCCTTCAACAAGTTCAATGCCAGGTACAACCAATAAAGGCCAGACCTTAGGTTTTCACCGTGGGAATCGAGACTCGGTACTCGAGGAGCACCACCAAAATTGCAAACCTCTAGTGCCGCCGCCCCCGCTTGCCAAGGCCGCTGTTGCAATCCACCAAATACCTAGCACACAGTCTTCACCGCATCCAGTACATCTTTCCGCCAACGCTTCAAGACCTCCAATCGCAGCCGCCATGACTTTCTCCAGCTCTATCAACGCCTTGAAAATCTTGACTTAGACATGTCCCACGACTTCGATAATAAAGCGAAGCTTCGCGTCGCGCCCTTTCGAAGCCGTGTTGGCTGATAATATAAGCACGCGCAACCGGAGCCTTTTCGATCTAGATCTCTAGGGCGACATTTGCCAATCCATATAGATCTCTGACAGGGAAGACCGGAACGTGTCAGCGGCCAGATCGAAAAGGTCGATGTTCGACAGGAAGATACCATGATGGACGAAGATTGCTAGGGCCAAACCACCACAGCCACAATTGCAGCCGCAACAGCCGAAGTAGCACCGCAGATCAATGCCATGAGGGCTGACCCCATGACGTATAGCCTGCCATGCATCCGGCCAAGTTGGAGAACCACAACGTCATCCAATCTGGGTCGTGCCCAAATCCAGCAAACACTGCAGCCCCAACCGCACAACACCGACGCCGCGGATGCCACGCCACCGATAGCCGCCACGCACACCGTGGCTGCTTTGCATACATAAATTAAATTCATAGCCAGAGAAGAACAGCAGGAATACTCTTCTCTCTACATTTTCGTGAGTTAAAACTCCATCATATTACGTTCTCTATCAACTTCTACGGTCCCCCCCGTGTGTCTCATGTCTTGTAGCTTGTGAATTTTTTTTTTGCGGGGGTTGTAGCTTGTGAATGTTGATATAGGTAACTAAGAGTTGAAGCACTTAGCTAGCAGGTTTGACGTTCATGAAAAACATAAGCAAAAGAACATGAAGATCGATACACAGGAGCAGAAAGTTCCATGTTAGCTTCGGTAAAAAGTGCGCTTGCTGGATGGTACTACGAAGAAAAGATCTTTCACCTTGGCTAGAGGAAACTTATTTAATAGAAATTTTTTATATAATATAACATGAAGTAACTTCATTAGTTTGATGCCAAAAAAATATTCTAATGGTTGGCGTGAGCATTGCACATTCACTTAGAACAAGGAAGCAGAGTACATGTTCAAAGTATATACATGCACAAGGAATCAGAAGAGATTAGCCATTGTCGTCAACCACAAGCCTCCTAGTCCAAAACTTTCTGGTGCGGAGCACCCCCATGGACATCACCATTGGATCCTACATCAACATCCAAGCGCCAAGTGGACTGATGACTAGAGCACGTGCACATGACATTGAAACCGAGGTGAACTCAGCTCATCTTTGAACTACCTTTAAAATATGAGATACGGTTACTACCTCAAACGAAGACCCTATGTATACTCAGGTACCCAGGTGTTAACTAAATGTCCTATATTAATACCGGTTGGTGTTACCAATCAGGACTAAAGGTCCTTCATAGGCTAGTTCAAAAGGAAAGCATCCCATCCAAAGTCACATGTGTTGTGTAGGTGGGGTGGTAAGCTACGCGCGAGGCAATACGTGAGGTCTTGAGTTTGAATCCGATGAGTTGCATTGGTGGGAGGATTATTTCTTTTAGCCTGAAGGACCTCTTACCAACCGGGACTAATGCCCCGTTTTCCACTAGTGAGCCTGGACAAAACAACTCTTTGGATGGCCATCTGGCCTCAACCTCTGACCCAGTCCAGAGGGAAGATCTACATCTCAAGTCCTCGACTCCTATTAGGGATTGGGAAGAGCTACCTGCTATCTATTTCCTCTTGTTAATTTCAGATATATGTGTATCTTACCATAATTTTCTTGGACAACACATGTGTGATGTGGATCGAATCACGAGTTGCATTGGTGGGAGGATTATTTCTTTTAGCCCAAGGACCTCTTACCAACCGGGGCTAATGCCCCGTTTTCCACTAGTGAGCCTAGACAAAACAACTCTTTGGATGGCCATCTGGCCTCAACGTCCAACCCAGTCTAGAGGGAAGATCTACATCTCAAGTCCTCGACTCCCATTAGGGATTGGGAAGAACTACCTACTATCTATTTCCTCTTGTTAATTTCAGATATATGTCTATCTTACCATAATTTTCTTGTACGACACATGTGTGATGTGGATCTTGTTCTTGTGTGCTTTGAAGAGGGGGCAAACTGGGACTTGGTCCTACATTATAAACAAATGTACGTGATTTATTTTTTTGAAAAATCTTCATGAAATTCAGAAAAAATGTTTTGTACCATTCAATGTATGTTGCTTTTTTTCAACAAGTTTCAAAATATGTTTAAGGCATTTCAAAAGAATGTTTATACGATGTGAATTTTATTTTGCATAGTTTAAGAAAATGTTTTGTATCATCCAAATAAATGTTTCAACATGAATTTGGAAAACATTTAGCACCTATCCAAAAAAAATATTTGAAAAAAGTTAATCTGTATTTAAAATAGGTAAATGCATACAAAAAATCTTCTATATGTATTACCGAAAATGCAAAATTTGTATGAAAAAATACACATCAAAACATATATCTAAAAAATGTTAAATGTGTATAAATGTTCCAGATGTATACAAAGAATGTAGACATGTCTTGAAAAAACGGAAGAAAAAACAAAGAGAACCAGTAAAACTGAAAAAGAAGTAAAGAAAACTGAATATAAAAAAAGAA